AAGGTGCATCGGGGGTCCGCGCTGCTGGCGGCCGGGGAGATGTGCTCTGACCACCCGGGGGAGCAGCAGGCAGGGCACGGAGCCCGTTTTCCAGGGAAGGCACGTGCAGGCACCCTGGCCCGGTGTGGCAGCTCTTCACCCGGGATTCCCATCCCCGGTGGGTGCTCCTGAGAGGCGGCCGGCGGGTGCCGAAGTCGGCCCTGCGGGAGGGAGGGAGGACTGGGCCGAGGGCGGCTCCGGTGCTCGCCCTGCTGCTGAGCTGCAGGTTCCCTCGGTTTAGCCACGTCAGTGGCAACAGCACGAGCCGGAAGATCCTGCGCTTTGTGGACAAGATCGCCAAGTCCAAGTACTTCCAGAAGGCCACTGAAAATGAGTTCATCAAAAAGAAGATCGAGGAAGTTTCCAACACGCCGCTGCTCCTGACCGTAGAGGTGCAGGAGCTGGCAGGCACCTTGGCTGTGAACGTCCCTCCGCCGCCAACGGACCGTGTGTGGTATGCAGCACTCCTTCCTCCCGGCACGGTGTCCTCTGGCACACCCTCAGTCCATGTCCCCTTGCTCCCTGCGCTTTGACCAAGGAGCAAGGTCTGGGATTTCCATTTCCTTGGGGCCTCAGCAAGCCAGGGCTGTTCTGCCAAAGGGATTCACATACCTCAGACCCGAGACACGCCGGTCCCGGGCGCTGCCCAGGCCGGGCCAGGCTCTAGGGACCAAGTGCTCCAGCTGGAGCTCGGCCACCTCTTCCCAGGACACAGGTCTCTTGAATTTAGCAGCGGGGCCTCTAGCAGCTGCCTGGCCATCTCTGCCACGGCATGATGCTTCTCACATCTTTCCTTTCTCCTCACAGGTACAGCTTCCGGGTCCCGCCACAGCTGGAGCTGAAGGTGCACCCAAAGCTGGGCGAACGGGAAGTGACGTTCCTCCACGTCACTGAGTGGATTGAGAAGAAACTACAGCATGAATTTCAGGTGCCTGTCCTAGTCCCAAGCAGGGAGGCAGCAATCACAGCAGGCACAGAGCAGAGCCCCAGAGAACTGCGGCCTTCCTGAGCCAGAGCACCCTGCCAGGGCTGCTGTGTGCAGAGCGTGTGTGTTGGCAAGCATTTGGATCCCAAAGGGCTGGGCAAACCCTGCTGAAGCATGGGCATTGCTGAGACGGGGGATATTCAGATGCCAGTTCAGACCAGTGTTATACCTAGGAAAAGCTAACATCTGACCTGGTCTGGCCCTCTTTGGACAGTCAAGAAACATGGCTTGAATAACCACCTCTTGGGGCTGTTGCTCTGAACACCAGAGTGCTTGAGGAAAAGCTGTTTTCCCACAGAATGTCCAGTACTACTCAAAGCAGGAGGGATTAGGAGTGTCCAGCAAGTCTCAGGCAGACATCCCCCAGAAGGGCCAAATTCACCCATCCACTCCAGCTTTGGGATAGTTGGGATATTTGCCATCACCAGGTACCCATGGGTTTGGTTTTCTGCCTCTCATTCTGGAGACCTCTGGCCAAAGAACAGGAACATCTCTGTAGACAGAGCCCTTTGGTAAAGCTCCTGAGCCTGCATGGCCTGGGAAGAGCCAGACCCTGTAGATGTTTAGGTACCCAAGTACCCCCAAAGAGCTGCCTGTTTGAATGTCTTTGAAGACCTGGTCTCTGCTCTCTGACACGACCACCCCTGAAACTCTGTGTGCAGGTGAGCAGAACAAGGGAAAACCACTCCTGTTTTTCCCCACCCTGAGATAACCAGAGCTGCATAGTCATCTAGGGCCAGGTACGGTCAGCCGCCGATGAAGGGAAGGGAGCCCAGCACCTACTGTTCTCAGCTTCAAGCTCTGCTCCAAGCTCCTATGGCTCCTTCCAAGGCCGCTTCCAGGCAGAAATGCCATCCCTCAGGCAGTGTCATTTAAAACTGCTTATTGGTGCTATCTTCTGGCTTCCTATTTTCAGAAAATTTTGGTGATGCCAAACATGGATGATCTCATCATTCCCATCATGCACTCTGGCCTGGATCCTCAGCCACCTGCTGTGGGACTCCCCAGGGACCTACCAGCCAAGGAGGAAAAGAGGCTCTGAGGCTCAGCCCTGCTAGCAGGGCAGAGACACTGTGCAGAGCCTGGAGACCTCACTGGGACACTCAGCCAGCCAGAGCTTGGCCACTGACTGCATCACAGTGCTACACCACAGAGTCTGAGCTTCTCGGTTCATCTCATCTTCACCATCTTGCACCTCCGCTCATCTGGACCTCAGATGAGCCTCCTCCTCCTTAAAATATTGCAAGCACATGTTCAGAGCAGAACCAGACCCCAAGGGAGAGGTTTTTCTGGAGAGACCCAAGAACTTCACCCACCTCCCACCAGGTTCCTAAGACTCCTGGCCAAGGGGGCAGACATGGACCAGTGGAGTGCTGGGCTTTCCACTATTTCCCAAAGAGTGTGCAGGATACCCAGACTGGTCCTTCACTCACAGAGTTGTGAACACTGCTGATCCAAGACATCACAACTCCCAGACGCAGCAGTATCCTCCCTGCAGGCCGCTGGGCTACAAGGAAGAGACAGGCGGGAAATGAGTCCAAAATCTGAATAAATCCATCACTGCCCAGTCTTACCTGGGGAGGCATCTTATTGTACGTGAGTTCCCACAGCTGCCAAGGATGTTGGATGGGATCATGGGGCTTTGTGCAGCTGGAAGTCCACGAATCATGCTTGCAGCCTAGCAAGAGGAGTGCGTGCCTGTGTGTGCATGCGAGAAAGACAGCAAGAGACTCTGTCCGTGTAACCAGGCAGAGGCAAGTAATGAGGAGGCCCTGTATTCCCAGCAGCAGCTGGGACAGAAACGCTGCTCTGCTCTCCTCTAGAGGAGAGGAAGGGGAATCTGATCCTACCATGGCTTCACTATGGTTTAGCTGAATGCAGGCAGTGAAGAAATTCATTGGGAAAGGGCAAGGGAGGATCCAAAGGACAGAGCAGACACTCAGTGATCCCAGGTAGTACTGAGCGGTACCTGTCCCATCCCCACGTACCAAAGAGCCTGGGGGACACAGAGCTGTCCCCAGGCAGCCCTGAATATGAGTAACACAACCCCTCCGGAAGGAAGACAGGGAGCGGGCATGGCTTGAAGCCCTTTTATTGAACGTGCCTAGTCATAGTAGCCATGCGTATCTCAGCCCTTACAGCTCCTCCTGCACATGTGGCTTCCCTTTCACCAAATGTTTCTTCTGGGGGCCCTAAAAGAGAGCAGAGAGGAGAGTTCTCAGGGTTAGTGGCACACAAACCTGGCTTACCAGGCTGGGTGGAGCAGAACTGCAGCTCTGGCCCCTTTCTGCTGTGCAAAGCTACTCATGGTCTCTGCTCCCTGGCTAGTAGCGCTGGGCTCTCATTCACTAGCATCCCCAGGGGCCCTTCTAGCTCTGAAGGAATCAGGAGCAGAAAACCATTGCCCTTGCACAAAGAGTTTGCTTATCTGGGCAGCACAAAGCAGCCAGAGAGTGGCAACGATTGACCTGCTGCTGAGCCCAGCAGCTGGCCTGCGGTCAGGGGACGTGGAAGGGAGCAGTAATCGTTCTGATGGCTGCTCCCAGGAGCTCACCATGGCAGAGTAGCTGCTGAGATGCTGTACAAACCCTGGCCTAGGCAAAGCCACCCACAGCCAAAGGGGCAGATTCTCATCAGCAAACTCAACAGAGCTGCAGACGCTTCCACCAGCTAAGAAACGGGGTCGTACTGGACCAAGTAAGTCTCATGAGAGCAGGTTGCAAGAATTACTGTTGTGCTTCTACTTCTAGCTGAATGTTAAATTTTACCCTTTAAACATGGAGAATACTCTCATCCCACAGCAGAAAATAGGCAAATAAACGTCTCCAGCCACGTAAAACCACCTCCTGTCACTAAGGACCACGTCACAGCTACTCAGGACTTACAGTGACAGCAAGAGCAGAACACACATGTTCTGACTCCAGAACAAGCTCCTAACACTGAGCTAAAGACAAACAACTTAAGCTCTAAAGAGCTCTGCAAAGGCGTTGAATAGCCAATCCCCCTTTCCTGGGGCTAAGGCAGCTTAGCCAGTTTCACATGGGTTTTATGGCTGGCAGGCCAGATTCAGACCTGGTTTACGTCTGCATGGTATCCTGGAACTTGTTTCTTTCTTTATGCTAGCCAGAGACCTGGCTCACTTAATGTTTCCTCAGTTTCACATTCAGAATTATGCACCAGCCTGGTGTAGGCTGCAAAGCCATCCAGGGAACTCTGCTTGTTCTGGTTTTATATAGAAATTTTTTTGCACTGGATTTAAGAAAAATATACTGCCTGGCCTTTTTAAAAGCTTCCTGACCAAAGAATCCCAAGTTTGTGGCTGAATTGGACCCAACCTTTTCCTCCTAAGAACACTGAAGTTATAAATCATTCCAACCAAATCAAAGAAATGCACAATTACGGGTGAAAGAGACCATATGTCCACTGCAGTGCCTGCCAAGTTAACGGCTTGTTTAAAACATCCCATGGCGGACGGAAACTGATTGGCCATATGGTACATTATTTGCTAGTTGGGCTGTCTTGGATCACTCACACAACCATCATGTTCTTCCTTAGCATAATTTCTGGTGTGTGAAGTTAATTCATGCCTGTCTTTCATGCAAGACAGTCCTGACCACTCATTTGGCTGCTGCTGTATCTAGAAGCAGATGCTTAGCTGGAGTCAATCAGTTGCTTCAGCCCCAGCTGTGAGTATGGCCTGTGAGCTGGAGCTGGCACAGAGTGTAACTCACCATGAAAGCCCGCTTCTCCTGAGCCGTCTGGAAGCAGCCGTGGCCAAACTTGGAAGTGGTATCAATGAACTTGAGTTCAATGGCCTCCTGAGCCCGGCGGTTTGTGTGCACCAGAAGGGACTGGAAGAGAGAAGTCGCAATGCATCAAGCTTATTTTTGCCAAAAAATCTGGACACCTGCTTCGACGGAAGCAGCGTTCAAATATCCTAGGTGCATCCCTTAGACACGAAAATCTGCTTCCTCGGAGAAACACCCCGGTGGTCGGGCAGTGGGTGAGGCCTTGGACTGCAGAGCAGCTCTGAAATGACCCTGCTCTTCACTTGCCACTTCATTCCCTCACAGTCTGCTTATGGCCAAGGTTTCTGCTCCCAGGTCCCCCATCACAGCCTCAAAGGCTTGCAGCTTCTAGCTGTGGTGAGAGAATACATCAGATTGCACACAACCACGATCCACCTAGTTGCAAATGGAGGCTGACCAATCTGAAAGCAGAAAACCGTGGCAAGAAGAGCTGCACAGTGCTGCCCCTCTGCAAAAGCCCTGCTGCCACGTGCAGTACTTTCCAGGGAGAGCCCCGTGCTAGCTCCAGAGCAGGGAACATGCATGTTTGTCATGCCTCGTCCTAGGCAGGCCAAGAGAAACAGGTGTTCGTGGCCCCAGACCCCTGGAGGGGTCTGCAGAATCCCTTCCTGCACCCAAATTACTGCAACTCAGCTGCAGAGGGAACGGAGCCTGCAAACCATATAGCAACTGACCCACAGGCACCAGTCTTGCAGGGTAACTTAGGGCTTTCCTTCCAAATCTAGTTGGTGCCCTGCCCTGCCTTCAGCTGAACAATCTGTCTCATGAAGCAGCACGCTAATGCATCACACGCCCACTGCAACACAGCATCAAGGGTCCGTCTGGCCACCCTGCCCAGTGTTTGGAGCTAGCAGTGATCTGCATGTGGCAAATCTATCAGTAGAGAGCTACAGTCTGTCCCTTCCCAGTGCCAGCTGCACTCTCACCTTCCGCAGAGTGAGCACACGCTTCTTCGTGCCCACAACGCAGCCTTTCAGCATGAGGAAGTCATTGTTGACCTCTCCGTAGTGAGGAAAGCCGCCCTGTGGGGAGAGGCAGAGAGAGGGTCGGAAGGCAGGAGAGCTGGATGGGAGCAGATGTGCCCACAACTGACATTTTTTATGGAAGGAGAGGGTAGCAACCGACAGCACTTCCAGCTAACAGCAATCTGCACCCATCAGGACACCTACCCAGGGACACCGGAGCATTTCAGCCACACCAATTGCATGATCTGAGGAAAAGAGCACTCATTAAGACCTACCGAGGCAGCTACTCTGCTTCCTCCTGTGGAGAGTGTGGGTAAACAGAGAGCAAAGCCGGCCAGGCTCCTGAGTTAACAGATTTTATATGGGAAAGTGAATTTTAACAAAGTAACAAACATTTCTCTGTTAAATATCCAATTTTAACAACATTTATACTTTGTTGTTGTTGCTGTTTTTTTTACCAAAGTCCTCAGTCCTTGCCCAGCATATCAGCTGAAAACAAAACGTCTGGGAATACCAAAGGGCCTAAAAAATCCCACAGAGATAGTTTTTTCTGTGTCTAAAACAGGAGGAAGGGAATCACTGCATTTCCTTCAGTAGAATTCAAATCACTTCCCATGCAGCTGTCTCCAGCTGAGAAATTACTTCCCTGGCCCAGATCCCTGAAGCCACGGCCAGTCACAGCCCTGCTACCCCTTTAGCCCTAACCAGAGGCGTGATGGTCTTCTCCGTGACATCGTAGTGTGTCGAGGCATTGTTCTTCACCAGTTTGCCATCTTCTATGTGGATCCCATGGCCAATGCGGTAAATCTAGGAACAGGAAGGAAATGCAGTTGGCAACTCTCCTGCCCCCTCACAGACAGACATTTCAGGGATTACACGACAGCCACTGAAACGTGTCCCCTGCGATGTGTCCCCTGAGCAGGGAACGAGCACTGCTGAAGAGACCAGCAGAAAAACAGCACTGCAGATCTCTAAGGCAAAGTCTGAGCAGCTGGGGGGAACCGAGGCCACTGCGGAAAGAAGGATGGTGACAGCAGGGAAGGAAGGCAGTGGTGCTGTGAGGGGGCCCATATAGGCCGTACCTTCTTGTTGAGCTCAGTGCGGTGATGGTAGCCCTTCTGGCCAGCCCGGGCTATGGAGTAGCCAACCCGAGCCGGGTGCCAGGCTCCAATGCAGGCGACTTTGCGCAAGCCTTTGTGTGTCTTCCTGGGAAGCTTCTTGGAGTGCCAACGGCTCGTCACCCCTGGAAGCGTGACCAGAAAGGGCTGTGAGAACACCAGGAAGTGGA